GCACTCGGCGCGACACTTTTACACTCGTCGTAATCTCTTTGCGCTCGTTATATTTTTTAGTTATATTTGTCGCTCACTTGCTCGTTTGCGTGCGTGCGGGCGCGCGCGGAAAATATTGCGCGTTGTGGAAATCGCTCGACTCCCGGCTGTCGACACACAATGGAAGAGGACTCGACGAGCGTGAGACGAAGATTATGACGCACGGGATACGTACAATTATTCATAAACGCGCGCTGGCTTACGGAGAATCGAAATTTTTCTGCGTTCCGAACTGCCTACCCGTTTCAACCTACCTAACTATCCAGTCAGCCCTTTTGCATGAGTAATACGTAAAGTTATATAATCCTCCCGACTCTTGCTGGATCTTCCAGCGAGAGTCGTGTTATAACCCATAATGCCAAATAGCTGTGGGATATATTTTAACCAATGCCTCCAAGTCGGAATCGCATTTCACGATTGTAGTAGTAATCTTGATTTTTTTGTGCCATATATGAAATAAATTATGTACGATATGTTAGATAATGTGTAAATGTAGCGCATATGACGATATTTCTGTGAAGAGTAAAACTTAAATCTTATATTTTAACTCCAAAATTTGAAAATATGTATTCTGTTTCCCAATTTTATTTTTTTATTTTTTTTAAATAGTACACGCAAAAAAAATTTTAGTTGGTGCAACCAAATAGGAACCAACTGAAAATTAGATAATCAGAAGCGATATCTCTGTAAACTAATATTTCTGTTGTCGCAACTGAAAATATTCGTATGAACATTCAATGATATTAGAACCCGGTTGAGGCAACTGAGAATAATTGACTATAGAAGCCTCATAAAGAAAATTTTCTGTTCCTATAGCCGAGTTTTTGTTTGATCCCTGAGCAACCAAAAATTTGGTTACACCAACAGAATTATTTTTTCGATGTATATATTTATTGCGTGTAGATAAAACCGGTCGCCAATGAACAAGGATAATCTCTCGGCTCTTTCGATTATCGAAAGAAATCGCGGCATCACTCCTCCTCGCTCAGACTCGTGAAATCTCAGCGAACCTATCGTGCAAATTTTCGGGCTGTTGTATAATTTTGACGATCGTTTCGCAAATATTCCTGCTCGGCCTGACAACGATGGCGCGCAGTTCAATAGGTTTACGACGCCGTATATTGAGAGAAAAATATTTAAGAAATAAAAAATATTTATTTGGTAGGGACTAATAATATATTTACCTATACATATTTTTAATAAAACTAATAATATACATATTTTTTACATTGAGAAAAATATTTTTTAAGCAAGAAAAAAAACATAATGAATTTTAATACTAAAATTTTCTTAGAACCTAATGTTTTTATTAAAGTAATTGTTCTTTCTATTTAAATAAAAAAAATTAGATTTAAGTAAATATGTTATTAGATTAGTAAATATGTTATTACTGCCCACTAAAATATTATCAATTTTTTAGATATTTTTCCTCTCAGTATACACGGAGAAAAAAGTTTAGTTCAATTAACCTGACAGTGAACGAATCGTCTTGATTGAAGGAAATACAATTTCTAGTTCTTATAAATTGAACGCTAAGGATAGGAAATTCTGTTTTCTTCAAGACGCGTTTGAATCATTATCAGGTTAATTCGACCAAACTTTCCTCCGCGCATAACTAATGTTTTGGTAAGAACAGAATTTCTTTTTTCCGAAATAAATTTGCATTAATTCATAAGTATGACGAATAAATTTTTTTTCCAAAATTGGAATAATTTTCCAAAATACGAATAATTTTCAGCAAAAGTATTTGAATCGTATATGGATGATATTCGAGGAAGAAAAATCGCGTGATGTACATATAAATAATATGTACGCGCACGAAAATAATATGACGAAATTTTCCATACGTGCGCAAAATAAAACCGACCGCCAATTAACAAGGATAATCTCTCGGCTCTTTCGATTATCGAAAGAAATCGCAGCATCATTCCTCCTCGCTCAGACTCGTGAAATCTCAGCGAACCTGTCGGGCAAATTTTCGGGCTGTTGTATAATTTTGACGATCGTTTCGCAGATATTCCTGCTCGGCCTGACAACGATGGCGTGCGCGCAGTTCAATAGGTTTACGACCCCGTATCCACAGCCAACGCAATACTACAATCCCAACTACTACGGTCGGCCTTATTACGCCATACTGCGACAAACGCAAGACTCCTCGCCGGACGGATCGTATTCCTACAGGTGAGATCGTCCTTCCGTCTCGTCCTGGAACGCGCCGGCAATAAGCGTAGTGTCGAGGCGTTCGTACGTTTCCCCGCGGTGGGATCTCGACACGCTTGAGGGATCGCGGTTGCCCTCGAGAAGTATGAAAACACTCGGCTCGCGCCATTCGGTCGATGTAATCGCAAAGTTAACACGCTCGGCGTGATCGCCGCTCTTTCTCCCCTCCCGCCGTTGTCTCGCGTCTTCTTCGGCGGGAATGAGAGGCGATTAATAGGAGGAAATGCACCGCAGTTAATGGAAGTCGGAAACGCACGAAACTGATGACAGTTGCACGAAAATGCCGCGCGCAAAATCCTCGCAAAATCGTCTTCTCTTACGGACGGAATCGCTGATCAATCGAGAAACCGTGAGAAATCAGACAAGGATCCCATTTTGAAAAATATAATCGCCTTTGAATCTTTGATTTTATCTCATGGAACATCCTATTGCTCCTACTTCAAGTTAACTAATAAAATTGATTGTATTAACTGAGGTTTTGAGATAAACTAATTAATTAGCTATAGTTATGCAAGAATGAACCAACAAAATTAGGTTTTTTGCCTTTTTGTTTTTATCAATGAATAATCTGTGTGTCTTTCTACATAGAACAAAAAAGAGTCAAGTCTTATAAGTGCCTAAAATTAATTAAAAGACTTTATTTTCTAGCAGTTTACGCCATTTTTCACAAGTTGCAAAATTTTTAAAGAATTAAGTTTCTCGATGGATACTCTTAAAGAGAAGAAAATTACACGCGCTTGGCTTCTTGAACGATTGCGAGGAATCTTAGTACTATCTACACTTTTCAAATCATGTATCAAATTCTCATCTTTATTTTTTCCAAAACGTACTCCATCCAGTTGGATCATTACTGCGTAACTATAGCAACCAATTTTTCAAGACAAAATTTTAGAATGCAAGTTTGTTTATTTCTTGATCAGGCTCGATTTAGAATTAACATTTCCTTAAAAAAATCATCGGGAGATCAACAGTTCAAATCACAAATTGTTGAAAGTGTAAGCATCTCGCGAGTTAAATTTAAATACGGTAAATGACTAAACCGTATTTCCGGAAACACATTACGCGAAGGATGACGTACAATTGATCAAGAAGAGTGATCGCGATATAATCGCCCGAAGAGATGTGGGATGAGTTGAATCAGTCATCGATGCAATGTGAGTCCATATAAGTGTTGTTCAGGCGCGATTTTTCGATCCCGACAGTGTCGACATCTTTTAGCCGGAGCCAAAAAAGGAGATCGAACGTCACAATTATATCCATCTCGCGGTTGTGCAACTTTCATTAGCCGGTTCGTGATTATTTTATTACCCGCCCACTGTGTAATTTTCGAATCTCTCTCTCCCGGCGTGCGAGGACGACGTTCGAACAAAGAGAAAGAAAATTTGAATTACCGCGAAGGCCGACGGTCGTACATGGTCGGTTAGAAGTTACCCGAATACGGTATACTCGATTAACCGTAATTAGTAT